AGAGCAGTATTAAAAAGTTTACTGCCCTATGGTTGGGTCTTATGTAAGCCTTTAATCCATTCTGAATTTATTCTTGTATATCAGTGGTTCTCAACCTTTATGTCGGACCCTTTAATACACGACCCACAGGTGGAGAACCGCTAGCAGGGTCGCCCAAGACCATCGGAAAACAGATATTTACATTCATAACAGTAGCAAAATTATAATTATGAAGTAGCAATGAAAATAATTTTATGATTGGGGGTCACCACATGAGGAACTGTATTAAAGGGTCACGGCATTAGAAAGGTTGAGAACCACTGTTTTATATTATGTAAGAAAGTGATCCATTTTTCCTAAGAGCATCCATTGAAGAGACTGTCTTTACCCCCATTGTATGTCCTTACCTCCTTTGTCATAGGTGAAGTGACCAAATGGGCTTGGGTTTATTTCTGGGCTCTCTTCTGTTCCATTGATCTGTGTGTCTGTTTTTATGATAGTGCCATGCTATTTTGATTGATATCAAATTATAGTACAGGCTATGGTAGTCAGTATACTATTAAAGAACTGTCCCTTTTCCTATAGGGTTGTAGTCTTAAGTTATGATCCCTGGAAGTATTTGTAGGATCTGCATAACCAAGTAATCTAAAATAAAAATATCACTTATTTGAATTTTTGAAATATGTGATAAATGATCTTGAGAAAACAAGGGACCAACATGTCTTACAATTTCAGTGTTCTGATGGAGAAGACTTAATACACTTTAACAATTGATAGCTCAATTTTGAAAATGAAAAACATTTTAATAAACACTGCCTTTATAATTATTCAAAGTATACATATACACTTTTGGAGAGACATCCTACATAAAACTCTCTAGGTATTGGAGTCAAATATGCTATCTGATTACCAGTTCACTTTGGTGTGGCATAGGGTAATGAGCATTAATAATTTTTTCTTCTAAGGACAGGCTCTCTCCCCTACCCTTCCTTTCCCTATTGCAATATCTAATTTGTTAGATGATTTAAAAAAAAGATACAGGTTTTCCTTGACTAGTTTAATACATTGTCTTCATTTCATTTTTGGTGGCCTGAGCATCTTGAAGTGGCAGGTTAGTGATTTGCTTAGCTTTTCCTGAGAACATAAGTGGAATGGGAGACCAGTAATCAGGATACATTTTCTGACTTTACTGAAAGAAATATGACTCATCTTGGTAAGGCATACAGGGATCTTCATTTCATAACATATGTTAGTCCCAACTGTTTCTGTACCCATTGCGATGATGACAAGCTTTGGAAAAAATGTTGTGAAAGCATATTTACTTGCATTCTTATTCACTTTATGAAACAATGGTCATGGAAATTAACACTGAGTGGACATTGACATTGTACCATTACTTAAATTACTATAATAATTAATGTATTGGCAGGAATTTACCTTGAACCTAGAAAGCTTTGGAGGTGAGCCAGTTTTGCATAACTAAAAGAGTGAGTTATTTTGATACCCGATTCTATCTATATCAAACCGTCTTATGATTTATTAAGAACCTAGGGAATTTATGGTTTTCCTAATTAAAATAAGGTAGATAAGAAATAAAGGACTGTGCATTTGAAGAATCATAAGGTTAAATTACTAAAGAGGCCCTTGAGGTACAATTTAAAGGATACATCTAGGATAATGGAATGAGGGATAAAGGTAATATTAATTGTCAGATTCACTTGTTTCTCCAGTTTGCAATGAAGGTCCTCATTTTATTGCACAAGATTTGAGTGAGCTAGAGAACACACAGCAAGAAATGGGCCAGCAGCAGGAAAAATAGAGCCCAGAAATAAAAACAAATAAAAGGTTTCCAAAGGCTCTTGATACCAGTGATTTTCCACTCCTGTTAGGATTTTGATTTCTTTCCAGAAGGATCTCAGCAGTGGCCACCTGCCAGGGGAGAACAATATTCAAGTTAGAGTGCCAGCTGCCGCTCACAGCTATCTTTATAGCGATTAGAAGTTCCTCAGATTTTTACATCCTCTGCTTATTCAGTAATCATCCCCACCCTTGAATTTCCCATGACTCACTGAGGAGTACCTGAGCGCATACATGTAGCAGGTGATCCTGTACAGTAAAGTCCTCACTTATCATCTGTAAGTGAAACAAAGTGTAGCAAAACCAGTCCTACCATAGGCTAATTGATATAAGAGTTAAGAGAGTTAAGTTCCTCAGGCATCCCACCAACATAAGAAAATGACTTTGAATAAAATGACATTATTCAAGGACCTGCTGTACTTGTCAAGCAACTGATAAGTCATAATGTGGGTGGTACAAATGGTTATCCTGAATAACCCCTCATAGTAGAATGTAACTATTTTAGATTCTGTGGCAGATGTTTTCAAGTCAACAAAATAAGTATAGCTGCTTCCAAAAGTCATTCTTTTCCTTCGCTGGTACCCAGCTCTGAAGTCACCTTGCTACCATTGTTCACACCACACAAAATATCAGGAAAACCATCAACCAGCCCAGGTATTTCTGACCTGTCTCTGTTACCTGCCTGTACTTCCCTTATCATTTCCTACATGTCTTTATGATGAAATGGCTCTGATAAAAACCTTTATAGGAACAATATTGATTGATAATTAACCATATTGCTCAATTTTTTGAACATTCATACTATTAAGAGTTTATCATAAAATAAGGTGAATTTGCTATTGTTTTCCATATCTATGAAGCACTGTATTTCAAAGCAAATGACCACAAATAAAAATATAGGTAAAAGGTATCAGATGAGATAAAGGATGAAATATATCAGTGATAATTATAGTTCATAACTGAATAATCTCTTTTTAGTTATCTCATTTCTGAAATCAGAGGTTAAACCACATAATGTCTAAATACCTTCTAGTCTCTTTCTCTGATCATATGACCAATATTATTTCATTTCTGGGAATACTGATTTCTTCATAGAGCTAGATGGAAGACATATATTTAAACACTCTGGAAATACTGTATTTAAACAATATCAGCTCATTAAAAGGCCATGTCTTGGTAATAATGATCAGGTTATAGAATACAGGGCAAATGTATTTATTTTCTTTCATTCTCAACTTCTCTACTGCCAGATTTTTGTGATAATAACTCATCCCAGTGAGCCTAAAAATGCCTTCTTTGGTCTGTAACTGAATGGCTAAATTACATTTATTAATTCAAATAAAATGAATCTTATTAATTATATAATAAAACACAAGTGATTCAAAGGATCATTTTCCTAGGTTGAATTTTTTTTGAAGATTAATATGTAAAGGTTAAGTTAAATGTTTTCCCCAAAACCACAAATTATTGTCACTTTTTAAACATATTTAGTTTTTGCATAATATATATTACAGAAAATTCAGACTATACAGAAAAATCACAAAGAACAAAATAAGTTATTGATATTTCAACCACTGAAATATAACTTTTAATAGTTGGGCTAACTACTTATTTTCAGTTTACCAAATATGGATCACTTTTTTAAATAAAATTGTAATATATTATGGATATGCTGTAAGTAATAACCATTCCTCAATATTAGATGTTTAAGATGTAGACCACCATATTTTTAAGATAGTTACTATCATTTTGACTCACATAAAGGGAACGCTATTAAAACTTGCTTTAAAAAGATTCAAGTCTGTTGAAAGACCCAGAAGTATTGTTTATGCCCCTCTTCAGTGGGCTTTAGCCTTAACCTTCCTGTTCATTATCTGTCCACTAACATGGCTTGGTAATCTCGACTGCTCCGTGGTCCTTCCAAGGATGAGATTCTGTGTGGCGCTCTGGACTTCCCTTTCATAGCACCCAGGTAGCTCCTCGGTGGCCCCGTCCCTAACTACCAATAGGCGGGCTGTGTGCAGGTCCAGTGAAGTGGCTGCAGCATGACCTTACCTAAGCTCTCCCATAGGTGCCCCAGTCTTGCCTCATGACCCTGTATGTAATCAGCTAAGATGACCCCACATCTCATGATTTTGATCATGGAACAGGGGTACACAAAGAACACCATGACCATAATTAAAAAAGAAGGTAGTCCTCACCTTTCTTAGTGCTGGGAAACCCTTTTATTAGTAAAATGAGCAGAAAAGCATGTGCACAACTTAATATATCAGTGTAATACATCAGTGTGACCTTCCTGCTATATCTATATCTATCTATCTATATATATATATACAACAGTTGCAAGTTGTACAATGCATCTCTTTTCATGCCTGGTATATCATAGTTGATTGACCTAAAGACCTGCCGGTTTTATTTTGAGACAATTCGTATTTCTACTCTATGCATTTATCTAATTTATCCATCCTTTTTATATATATAGGTATACAACATTTATTGTTTTTAAGAAGTCTCTGAAAATTCAGCAAGTTGCTTTTTTACCATCTATCCTATATAATAGAAGGCTAATATGCAAATTGACTGGTTGTTGTGGAACAACTGGTTGCTATGATGCACACTGACTACCAGGGGGCAGGTGGTCAGTGCACTCCCACAGGGGGAGCACTGCTCAGCCAGAAGCTGGGCTCACCAGCTGGCAAGTGCAGCAGTAGTGGCAGGAGCCTCTCCTACCTCTGATGCAGCGCTAAAGATTTCCGTCAGTTGGACATCCCGTGAGGGCTCCTGGACTGCAAGAGGGCACAGGCTGGGCTGAGGGACCACTCCCACCCCAAGTGCACAAAGTTTGTGCACCAGGCCTCTGCTATTTTATAATTAAGATATGTCTGAATCACACATCATGCTTTAGTTCTTAACATCTGTGAACTAAGTTTTTTTAATCCCAATATAAAGACACATTGCTTGCTGACCATGTATTTTTATAGTATTTATTTGACCATGTATTTTTATAGTATTTATTAAAGATATTGAATATTATAGTGGGGTGTTTTGGGTTTTTTTGTTTGTTTTTTACTTCCAGATCCTTATGTACTTGGTGCTAAACATGTTCTACTCTGGCTAAGACCAGAAGTAATAATTCTCTGCATTTTCTTTTCTCTGGTGTTTAGGGTGCTGGTTGCACAGCCCTGGTGGTAGCTGTAGTGGCAAGGAAGCTAGAACTTACCAAAGCAGAAAAGCACGTGCACAACTTCATGATGGATACTCAGCTGACAAAGAGAGTAAGTCGCCACCCTGTTATCTGCAAAGGAAATGTTATTTTGGGTATTTTCAATGTTGATAACATGCTTTTTGGATAACATGCTTTTTATTTTGATCTCCAAAACAACATGGCTTAGTCTTAGAACCAATTCCATATTTTCACATTAGGTCAGATAGGAAATAATTGGACAAGCTTGGTATTTATTTCAGGATAAAAATAAACCACATAAATCTTTAAAGTTGGCAGTATACACGAGACCAATATCAGATTGAACAGGAAGGAACACAGAGTCAAAGTAATACAGAAATGTTATGGGAAGGTGATTCAACAAATATTTTACTGACCTTCCATAAGCCAGTCCCTGTTCTAAAGACTGGGGTTACAAAGACAAATAAGCAACAACCCTTAATGTTTAGGATTCCGAAGTGTGAGGGCAGATACAGATTCTTTCCATGACTTAAAGGCTATCAGAGAGACGTTGAAAATAGCATCTAGAGGAGAAATCAATGTCCAATTATAAAGACTCAAGGAAAACAGTAATTACATGTGTACAGTGTACTCACCCTTTGCCAGTTGCTGCTCTAAGTGTGGCATGAGTAAAAACTTGTTTCATCTTCACAACAATTTGATGAGGAAGTGCTGGTATTATGCCTGCTTTTGAAGATGGAAGCCAAGATTCAGAGAGGTTTGGTAACTTACATCAAGGAGGAAAGTCATATAAAAAGGAAAATGATTTTTATCACACTAAATTTTTAGCTTCCCTTACAGTCACTTGAAATACCAAGGTCAAAAATAACTAAAACTTACTTTATATCAGTGTCATCTTGCTATATAACCACTTCCCAAAGAAGAATTCAATCAGGTTGTAATTAAAATAACAAAATACATGATCATTTGGTAACTTCATTCATAAAAGGATCAATAGAGATTTCAAGCATTTTCAGAGCTTATGCTCACTTTTGACTTTGGTAAAGTCAGTCACTTTAATGCATATTTTATTTGTTTGGGTATTTATGAAATGGAAAGATAAATTCCAGTTACCCTGATAAATTATGCCTCACCTATCAGATACTACTGTGAGACTTCATTGCAGTTAGAAAGTCCACATAAATTCTAGATGTCATGCTTTCATACTGGATTTACTACTCTACACAATTTTCGCTCAACTCCCGAATTCATTCTCCAAACTAATTTCTAAATGTTATAGAAAAGCACATGGAGAGTAGATGGAGAAGTAATGAGCTGAATGGAGAGTTAGGTTCTTGTCATTTTCTTGTCATTTTCAAAGATATACCATACTGAGGAATGAAAACACACACATTAGATTATTGTGTGTCCACACCTAATCTAAAATTGTAGCAGATGTTTTATATATCTCATCATGTACTTGTTTGGATAAGTTCTGCACTGTGCAGTTTGTGTTTGAGACAGAAGTTGTACAATATCAAGAGAATCCTCCCATAAAGTGCTAGCATAGTCCAAATAATTTTACCATGATATTATGTTCCTTCACAGGAATTAAGTTAATGCCACACTTGCGATACTAGGCAGAACAATATCTTAAAACACCATATGTAAGTATTTTCAACAGTGAAGAAAAAATGTGACAGAATCACAAATAAGCAAGCCAGCTGTCACGCTGAGGCAGATTTCCCCCTGGTTCACAAGCAGGCATTTGGTTTATCTTAAAGAAAATAAGCAACTCCCTTAAATTTACTTTATCTGGGATATTGATGCTCCATATCCCATATTATTGAAGCATGTTAGAAAAGACAAAGGCTTTGATTTTTAAAGGCTACAGTGTAACATTATAGAATTTTGTGACATTCAGAGATCTTCCCATTCCAGGTTGGCTTTTTAATTCAGTTATTTCAACTGTATTGTCCTGCAGGACTAACTACCACCTTGCCTTGAAGGACTTTGTGTATTGTTGGGTGTTTAGCAGCATTTTGTCCTCTGCACACTAGCTGCCAGCAGAAATATCCCCACACATTTGTGACAACCCAAATTGCCTCTAGACATTTCCAAAAGTCCCATAACGGTACAAAATTGCAGCCGTGAGAATCACTGCTATAGCTTGTTATTGCCCAGGGATTCAGAGACTGAGATTATCTGTTAAAAGGAATTATCTTTACAATATTCATTTAACAAAAAATATACTGCGTACCTACCATAGTTAGGGTTCTGTGTTAACTGCTGAGGATAGACAGCTGAAATATCATATTCCAGGAGACAGAGAGTGTTATGCTTTTATAGTATTCTTTTAAGCAAATCAGATGAAGGCTCTGCTTTTTTTTCCTCTGGCCAAAAAAATGCACTTGTGTTCTTTCTCATGAGTCCCCTAAAGTTCAGTTAAGTTCTTAGATACTCTAGATAGACTCCCTATTGGTAATTTTCTGTTATGAGTCAGATTGTTTATAAGAAATATTGTTCTAGTTTCAAATTCTCCACGGTGCTTCATTAATTCTGTTTATCTCATTCCCACTTAAAAGGGTAGCTACTCTACATATTTCTGTGGACCAGTCTCTTATAGGTTTGAGAAGACTTTCCATCCAGCAGGCTTGCTGACAGATTGGCTTTTATAGGCAACATGTCGCTAAGTACAGGTACAGATGTTTGGCCTTAGAACCAAAAGTAAATTTCTAGCTTAGGATACTGTACTATTATTGATAATATTATAGTTATTTTATACAAAGTCATCAACTTAATGAGTGTTATTTACTTGAAACTTGACTTCATTTATTTGTGAAATGTCTAAATGGGCCCATTTAGAATTTTTAACTTTTTAAATAAAAAGTCTAAAATACTTAATGATCATTAGGCAAGGCTCTAGAAAACTAAAAATATAAAATTCAACTATCCCCTGAAAACACTACATAGGAGAGATCATATTCTCTGATGGCCAACAGAGGTAATGGGCACAGACATTCTGAAGTCGGAATATATCTGTAAAGGATACGCAATCTGCATATTAAAAGATAGGTTATTCCTCCAAGCAGAAATGCCCTTTCCAAATCTTGCATTGTATTGTATGTCTTACCTGAACAATTACATTTCTATAAAAATGATTCACCACATAAATTTCAGAGGAACAATCTTATTCAGAAATTTCTGTTTGACTACCTCAACCATATCAAATACTGTGTTTGAAAGTAGGACACACTACTCATTGGGCAGCAGCATGAAGGAATGTTTTATGTAAGTCCAAAAATTTACATGACACTGATTTAGAAATGGCCTATAGGTACATGTGCACAGAATAATCTTAGAGTTCAGCTCTCTAATCCTTTTATTTTGGAAAGAACAAATTTTTAAATAGCTGGATGTACCACAAAGGATAATTATACATATTAATGTCCACTGTGGGTGTTTCTAATCCTATCAAGAATTCTCAATAAGATCCATAATAAGAACACTATTATGTGGTTATATAATCTAGAGCTTTACTCTATGTGGCTCTTACATTGTCCTTAGCTACATAGCCCAGTGGCTTGAAACACACGGTGAATGGATCCCTTGACCTTGCCCTGTTCCACAGTCACATCATTCACCCAACCCGTACCTGGTCCATAGGAGAACTCGGTGGGCAAGGTGAGAGCATGTGACATCCCAGTGCACAGGCTCAGTAGCATTACCTGTATGTGTCCCAGGCATCACCCTCAGCATAGATGGCAGCATTTTACTTGTAGTTTCCAGATTGAGAAGCAAGAAACTGTACCTGGTTGGGGTGGGAAAAGATGAAAGAGATAAAGAAGTACAGATTTCCAGTAATAAAAAGTCATGGGGATGTACAGCATAGGAAATGTAGCCAGAAACATTGTAATAACTGTATTTGGTGGCAGGTACTAGACTTATTAGAGTGATCACTTTGTAAAATATAGAAATGTCTAAACACTATGTTGTACACCTCAAATTAATATGCTTTATGTCAGATGTAATTGAAAAGTTAAAAAAAATGGTTCTTTAAAAAACAGCTGCCCTCCTCAAATCAGAAATTATGTCCCTTTCCCTTACATTTGGGAGGAGTGGAAATACTGCACTTCAGCCTCAGAAGGGAGAGAAAGAGGAAGAAAAACAAAGTAATATATGTTGAAAAAAAGTCACAGTAATATAAAGGAAAACTATAAACAAAGTACTCTTTTAAACAGTGCTCTAATTGCATGTGTCATTTACAGTTGAACAAAGCAAATTGTCAGTTAAAAGTATCAGCATTAAGTGCTTTTTTGTGGTTGATAAAGTATTGTTACACTTTATGGCTTTAATATTTTATAATTACCTATAAGTCAGCAATATAACAGTTCATATCCTTTACACCCATGAAAGTGGGTTTAAGGCATCTGGGGAGGTAGTATTACTTTTAGTAGTATAAATTATTTTTAGTGCCTTTCTTTTCTCAAATTATTATTAAGCTATCTGATTATTAATTGACCTCTCAGTATTTCTGATAAAAGATTTGAATTGGAGTTGAGCATTAGTGAGACAGTACAAATGTTCTTTTCCCTTTTCCCTGTGTGTGTGGAGGGGGGATGAGAGAGGAGGCAGAGTTCTTTCCTGTTCAGAACGAATCCTCCTCTCTCCTTATTTTTTGAAATATAGGAAGTAAGTTAGATGTCATAGTGCTGTTGGCCCATTAAGTGGCACTAAATTTCTGAGGTATATTTGTAAATTTCTAATATGAACTATCATGGTATCTAGTATGTGAGAGAGACTCAATAAAGGAGTCAGTGCATTTCATAAAATGGAAATCCACTGACCCCTTTAGATTCTAGAGCTCTTCTCTAACCTGTACAACCTTCTTTCCAAGAGGATCCTTTGGCTGATAAAGATGCATCTCCTTCATGATCAGAAGTGTTTATGATGCAAATTATTTATGATGGAGACATTTATTTCATACCATCTCTAGGGCCAACGCACTGAGCTAGGGAGACACAAAGATTCATGACACAGGCCCTGCCCTCCAAGCATCTGTGAACATCCTGGGAGAAGGAGTAAGTCAGTGGTTCCCAACCTCTTTTTGGCCATGCCCCACCTAAGCATCTCTAAAATCCTGATGCCACAACCCCGCACCATGCCATATAATTCTTATTATTCAAAAAGTGAACTCCTATTCACATGGAGGAAGCCTAAAAGGCCATTAACTTGGTCTAAACAAGCTTCCAAAGAACATAGCATCCGTGAAGTAGAAAAATAAGAGAATGAAAGGACAGTTGAAGTACTGAGGAAAGAATTGTTTTAAAAAAAAATAATATGAAGTGATATGAAAAAAAAATAGCAAAGTTTCAAAACATACTAGAGAACTGAAATGAACCTGTAAAACATGTTCATTGCTTTTAAAAACTTGTAAAACACTGAAGTGCTTTCTACCCGGTCATCTCCCTGTCCGCTGTTCCCTTTCAACCCTACAAGGGACTGGAAAAAACTACTAGGAGCACACCTGACCATGAGGCAAAGGACACGTCTTTCTATTTGTGGACATACTGTTTTGTGGCTGCTATTTTTGAAAAGTATCAGTTAAATTTGATGCTTTGAGAGGTTAATTCCTATGTTTGAAAACCTATTAGAGAATTATAAAAGGGGATGTTTCAACATGAATGCATACATATGTATATTTAACAGGTTTTTAAAAGCAACTGTAGGGATTTTACTTTCAAATGAGAAGTCATTTTCAGTTTCAGCCTGTCAGCTAAGATGAGTGAACACAAATACACAACATAAGGCCTCAGGCATCACTCACCAAATTGAAGTCAACTTACACTGCATCTAGCTCCTTACCTCTGAAAAGGTCACATGAGGGTCAGATGAAAAAGCCTTCTGAAAGGTGATTCCTACCTCTGTGAGGAAGAGAACTGTGTTTCCATAAGAACAAAGCCAAGAATTACCTGGAACACCTTTGAATGTCCCTGTGGATGGTGGTGATTTCCCTCTTAGCGTCACTCGCTGTTCTGTTGGTTTCCGGATGCTGTCCAGAGGATGTGACCAAAGCCACTCCTAAAAGCAGTTTTAGGAAACCAGTCATTTTCTTACAATCGGTTTCTAGGGATACAGTTTCACTCAAAAACAAAACTTTTCAGCACCATGAAAAAGGGTGTTTTCCTGGCTAACGTGAAAAAATAAGCATACCGACATGGGCCCATAGTCTTAGTGTAATGCTAAGGTTCTTTCTGATTGTAAATGTAAGGGCCAAAAAGGACTTGGCTAATATTTCTCTTGAACCTCACATAATGATGAGGAAACAAAAGTTGTACAAAGTTGGCTAGCCCCCTTGACTGGAATTGCTTAGTAGAAAGACTAGAATGTACTCCAGCTCACTGTTCTGTCTTCCCCACCACAAGGCCGTCCTTAAAGTGTTGTCTGCCTCCACCCAGTGCCCCGCTAGCCTGCAGCTCTCCCTGTGAACGTCTTTATGCCTCACTCACAAGGCTGTTCTGAGAGCAGGTGATTGACAGCAGGAAGCCCACACGAAGGCGCTGGGCCTTCAGGTGGAGCATCTCTGGGAAGTATTCACACCTTCCATCAGGTCTCGGCAGTGTTACTGAAATGCTTTCACCCTTAGGCTTGTCCCATTCATTTGAAACGCGGTATATTTCAACTACCAACAAAATCATGACAACATAGACAGCCTGTCCATTAATTGAGTGGGCTTACAAGCATAGTTTGCTAAGACCCTCTGGGAGCCAGGAGACGGGGTCCCCGGTACCATCAGCGGTGGAAATGTGCCCTCCTTCCTATAATGCGCAGCCAGCCATGCCACACAGGCTTGCAAAGGCAAGATTAATCTTGGCCTTCTGGCATTTTGCCTTTCTCCAGGGAAATGAAGACACCAAGAGAACAATTGCAATACAAGGTGGAGAAATAAACACCTCTTGTTTTTTTGTGTGTGTTTTTTAAGTGGTTGAATGCAAAGAAAGTCCCTGATAGGGTAGAGTTTGGCCTGGGAAGAGATCAGTAGCTCCCTACTATTTCAATATTGTTCTCACTCAGAAACTGGTAGTTTTTAAAACTTTTGGATCCATGCACATTTGTTTTTTGTTTTTTTAATGTTTAGATGTACGTAAAAAAGAATTTTTGAGACATAGTTAATACACAGAGGTAGAACTTACCACTATCATTGGGGTGAAGAATCTGACCCCCAGCCACGTTGCAAAGGATTCTGCTTTGGAATTTATCAACTGCTTTGTTTGTTTTCCTACCAGGTGAAAAACGCAGCTGCCAATGTACTCAGGGAAACGTGGCTAATTTACAAAAATACAAAGCTAGTAAAAAAGATAGATCATGCAAAAGTAAGAAAACATCAACGAAAATTCTTGCAAGCTATTCATCAGTAAGTACCATTCTTCACTTTCCTCCTGCTTTTGTGTGTCTAGGTTTTAATTCTAGCGCTTCGTTATTCTCTCATGAGGGAGGAAAGAAAGAAAACGTCAGGCTTGTTCCCAGAGATGGTATTTGGCAACTTAATAATTTCATAAATGAAACCCTGAGCAAAGTTGTCAGTTCTTGTATGATTAAAAATCATTTATTATTGGGAGACTAGTCATTTAATATATATCTATATACAGTATTTAATATATATATATATAGTAATTGAAATTGTATATCTTAATTTAACTTATTCATATAGTTTGATCTAATATGCTTAGTTTGTATTTACTGCAAAATCTTGAAAAAAATTAACATTATCTGGATTTTTTTTAATACTCTGCCAAGCATCTTTATATGAAGGTAGTACTATAGTTGATTCACTACTTTGATTTTTAAATGAGTTTTTAATCAGGGTGTGTGTGTGGGGGGGTGTTTCTCTGTGCTACGTGTTCATTGTAGATTTTATAGTTCCTGTAGACCCTGTGTTCTTTATCATTGTCCTGACTTTATTCAGGCCACTAGATTTCAAGTCATTCATGCCATTTCATTGGTACATTATGTCACTATCATAGACTTTAAAGCACAGATTTATATCTAGTGGGTCTCAGTGATAATCTGAAAGCACCAGGTCTTTCTCCCCCGGGCTGGCGGCATCCTTACCGTAAGTACATTCACCTGGGTGTCCATTATGATGCTCCACGGACTTGCTCTTAATGCCATTCCCAAATGGGGAAGAGCACACACAGTTACATTTGTGGGGCAGCAAAGTGGCTGTCCTCATGCAACCTCCTGGGATAATCATAGAAAGCTGGGGAAATACTAGGTCTCTTGACTATTTAGTGAAATGTCTTTGAGAGCTAACTAGCACAGCGGAGGAGAAACCTCTGAGGCTGGAGTTCTCATTTTCTATATTTAATTTGTCTTATATTTCACTAACATTCTGTGAGAAATCACTAAGCATTCATATTACCTGTCCAACCAACTTCTCCTTTTAACTATCCCTGAAAATGTGGACTATGTATATAATTATGGTCATATATGAACTATAATGAACTTGCTGCTTTCTTAATGAAAAGAGTTCATGTACTTTGTGATCTAAACTAGAGGGAGCCTGCACACATGGTGGAGTAGCTGACCCTCTGTGCTGGTCTCTCACACTCTTTTCCTCGCTGCAACCAACACCAAAGGGACATCATTCCTCCTTTAGCTCTGTGACTCGACTAGATACAGACTATGCTATTTACCCAGTAAAGCTAGTATTAAAGATAATACTCCTCTAACACTTGGGGAAAAGTATCAATAAAAGGGAAGAGCAAGAGAGGAACAGTGTTATTTGATGTGGCTCCCAAGAGGGAGTTGCTCCCTGGAGCTCACAGCTGTCTATGACTGGGTCCCACCACCTAAGAGCACTTGCCTAGACATCTCCATTCCCTGAAGCTTGGAGCTAAGAGAACGAGTCCCCTGACAGATGCTGAGCCGACACCTCTGCTCTCATCAGGCCTTTCATTCTTTCTGAGGACAAGGGTCACCCAACACAACTCTTCTACACCCCCAACCATGTAACACAGTAACCCCAACATTCACACAAGGGACACTCATGGTAGGCTGTGGAGAAATCACTCTCTGTACTATTAATTTTTGAAGACACACACACTAATATATATTAAATATATTATAATAAAAACTCACCTGTGTGGGAGTGAGATACCATGGAAGTGGGCGAGTTCAGTCCCTGTACGTGTCCAGCAGCCACACATCCCCTTTCCTCCAGGATTGTATTTGTGTCCATTTCTATCACTGTGACCTGCTAAATGTATAATTAAATGTGATTTGCCTTTAATGCCTTGGATAAATTTTCATATTCTTTTTAAAATGCTTTGACAGTTTTTTTGGGTTTTTTTTTGTAATATAATTCTATAGCCATGTGTAAATGGTAGGTATTTATGTTGTCACAAAGCTCTTAAGTCTGAATATATTCACACTCAAAAATTTGGGGGACGATTTAAGGGTATTCACTATACAACCTTTTCAACTTTGCTATACGTTTGAAATTTTTCATAATCAAATGCTAGGGAAAATACCTTTCAGTGAACTAAGTTTAAAAACTGTCCCTAAGCTGTTGGGGCATTGACCTGATCATAAGCATTTCGTGTCTCCTTCAGCGTTCTTCTTTTGGATAGACTAATAGAGGAGAAAAACACATTATTCCTCTGCTTCTCGCAGACATTTCTTACTCTGTTTCTTCCATAGCAGTGTATATTTCTAAAACAGATGTGTTTCAAGCAACTCAAAACTGTTCTGAATTGTTTTATAAATTAGTCTTTGGGTGATTGGGTTTCCTTTGGGGTGGGAGGGACCTTGTACTTTGTGAGAAAGTGCACCTGAGAATTTATGCGGGCTGGGTTTGGCTAGTTTATTCTAACCATGCACTAACTTTCATTTTAAGTTAGTGAAGTCACAAGGGAAAGCACACAGGGCTCGATTCCTCAGGGCAAGGCCTTTATTGCCCACTGTTCACACCCAGTGAGACTGTCAGCCTTGCGTGTCAGCACTGGGTGAAGCCAGACTTTGCTAGTTGAGGAAACATGGACAAATTCATTTGCTAGAGCTCTCCTGGCCTCTCCTATTCTCTGATGTGTCCTGAGAGCTTTGTCAATAGTGTTCTCTCCCCCCTTCTGCCAGCCCCCCTCTATTTCAGATCTTTCTCTTTTCCAAACTTCATAGCTTTTCTCCCCGACACGTGCCCTCTCTAGTCTCAGATGGAAGCCGAACTCTGTGGGCTGTGTCTTCTTCTCAGTAACATATGTCTTTGTGCACAGTCACTCAGTGCCACGAAGCAGTCTGTTTCTATAACATTTCACCCTTTTTCTGGTAGCAGCTTTAACTTTAAAGTTTATCATCCTTCTGTCTCACCTCTATAGACCCATCAATCAGTATAACTTGTCTCAGAGCCAAGAAATTCAACCAACATGGCTTTTATAACATAGAATGTTGCATTACTTACCTTTCAGAAAGCCAGGCTTCTAGACAGCCCCACCTCAGAAAAGATGTACTCCTTCAAAAAAACAAAAACAACAAAAACAACATCATTATAATCCTATTGTTTAGAACATTGTCCTTTTAATCCTGTGCTTTCATATTAGGCAAAAATGTTTCCTATGTTTACTTAAACATTCTGTCTCAAAGAGGCCAAGATGTTTTAAGTTCTTCCTTCTGAACTCTGGTTCTGGAGGAAACTATGGGCTTTCGGGTGGGGGAAGAATAGCAGCGACGAAGAGGGATGATGATATATTGAACAGTGTTTCTCTTTGATCAATATGCCAAAGTCCTACAGAATCTTAACAGGATCTTCCAGCCAATGAATCGAGCCCCTTGTGCAACACTGAACACCACACTGTGTTATTTGGTTCCAGAGTATTTCACAGTTTCTTTTCTTTTGTTTTGTCTTTTTATTTCAACAAAATGAAAATAGAGCTCGGAAGTAAGTTGTGTGAGCCGCTCCTTCAACATTTGCAGACTTCTCTACCGGCTGCATGCACCCAAGCGGATCCTTTATTTGTGAATTTTAGTAGTCTGATTGCTGCTATGGAAATGTGTTCCAAAATCATGATATTTTCCCGTGATAAGTGAAGTTCACAAGGAAGAAATCAACATATGTTTCTTATTCTTTTTTGGGGGGGAGAAAAATGTAAAATACACATCTGCGTGTTACCTTTTATTCTGGCAGCTGCAGCTTACGTAGGCTTTTCCGACCAGTTCTGCATCACAGGCAGTCTAAGCAGCAACAAAATGAGATGCTTTAAGTTCAGGGAGCAGCGAAAGGAAGTCCAATCAAATAGGGCTACTCTAGGTCAGCATTCCAGATTAGTAGAAAATAAAATGGGCAAAATTCTACTGTCAGAAACATAATCTAGTAACCCAGGAGAAGAAAATTAGGCTTCATTGATTGGAATATGATGCACTCACCTCAGCCAAGGGACTAGCTCTGGACCGTCCTTCAGACTTGCTGAGTCCAGCACTTCCTCTGCATTTATGAGTTGCTAGAGGTTTCTGGTCTGGTGACCCCAACCTTCAGGCATTCTGTCCGAATTATACTATCACTTAAATTTGAAAAGAAAGCTTGATATAAATCCCTGTCATAAATAGATAAGAAATATATCCTTCCCAGCAAAGAGAGGTAAAAGCAATATCAATTGACAATTAAACACTGGTACTGAATTCTACCCACAGGCTGTTATCTGTAGAAACGGTCTGAGCTGAGAACGATAAAAACAGTATAGGGCTGGCCTAAGACCTTTTTCTTATAACAATCAGGAATTAGAAAAGAATTAAAGGGAATTACTTTTTCTCCATCTGTTTTAGTATTGTTTAATGTCTTATTTGAGCATCACTTAGTCATCTAGAGTAAGTACCTCTTGGTAAAAATCCAGCTCTTTGGAAACATTATAATAACCTAGCCCACTTTATTTCATACACGAAGAAACTGATGGTCAATTTAGGGCCAGGGAAAGGATAGAATCCATGTCTGACATTGTGGTTCTCTCTGCTACATTTCTCTATAGTAAGTCACACATATTTAAAGTTTGTGTGGTGGTTTGTTTTTTTCTAAGGGGGGATTGTTTTTGGTTTTGACTTGTTTTTTAAAAGGCAGACATCAAGACTTGAAATCCTTGTAAATACTTAAGGAAACATTTCTCAACAATATATTACATTTAAATCTCTATGTTTGTAAATCTCTTTTAGACTAGGACATATTCCATCTTTACAATAGCATGAAAAGGAGCCGTTCTTATAAACAGAGCCACAATGACAAGTTATAACCTTAAACTGTTTTAGATTGTTAAAGAGCATGATGTAGGCAGGTGTCAATTAAATTCTTCCTGGCAGAAGGAACTATATCTTCCCTGTAGAGCAGATTTGGTGACATATTGGATACCCTAGTTTCAGAACAAAATCACTGATCATTATGAATTTGTTACAAAAATCTCCCTGGCAGTAAAATCTTGCCCTGTGAATATTTTTCCTTCTATGTAATTACTTTTAAATTAATTTTGGAAATAATAAAAAGTATTCTCTCTAGCATTGCCACTACACTTTGTAAAGTGATTCATAAGCAAAGTAATAAGGTTAGCATAGATACATATTTTTTATTAGGTGGTTCAGAGAGACCTGTTTCTGTTTTGGAGCAAGACTGAATTGTTTGTTGGCTTAAACAGCACTTTTTTTTGTTGGAAAATCTTAATTTCTTGGTTCCATAGTAAAGAATGAATTAAATATTTGTTAAAACATTACAATAAATTAAGGAATAGTTCTCATTCAGAAAGGTTTTTTTTAACAGTGGCTTTTAACTATCAGATATATGCAATGGTATTTAAAAGTATCTAAAAGTAGCTTTATAAGTAACGATCCCATCTGTCAGATACTTTAATTGTCCTCTGACTTTTATGTACAATAAAAAGCAAAGGAAATTCTCCCAAGAATATGGTCTGGCTTCTCTTCAAGTTCAATGGCAGTTTGAGATAAAAATCAAGTGAAGAATAAGAGAATTATGTGTTTTGAGTTATCTTGCTGCTGGTTGAATAAAAGTTGTGTTTTTGCTAATAAGAATCTCACTTATCACTGTGTTTCATCAGGCTCAACTACCTAACCCAATCCATTTCAGACTAAACAGGGCTAACACCTGTATCTAGTCACATAGGCATAGGAAGGTGCTCACTGCTCCAACAGTGATGCAATTCCACTTGCTTTGCATATTTCTTCCTATGTCTATTTGTCACGATACTGGGGCTTTAAGGAATGTTTTGGCTTTTCTCATATGGTTAATTCCTTATGAGCCTTTCTTAATTCAATGTTAACTACCTGGTGAACAGTTGTCCTATGGACACCTCATCCCTTACTCTCTCTCCTTTCCTTTTTGCGGTGTTGGGGAAGCATGCTTCTCATTGTAGCAGATACATAGCCAGTTTGGACTTTACCCCAAATATTTAAGGCATTATCCATGCAGTTATTGCCTTTGTCAATTTTGTGCATGCTCTTTGGAAGACATATGATGGCCATAGAAAGAAAGAAACATTTTTCTGACTTCAGATTCTGTCTTTTAGATTAAGAAGTGTAAAAATGGAGCAGAGGAAACTGAATGACCAAGCAAATACCTTGGTCGACCTGGCAAAGGTAAGCTGGGGTGTCAGCCCTCATGATTGCATCTGTTGGAATTAACCATGGCACAATAATTAATAATGCTGACACAGGGGGCCACCCTAAATTTATTTAATAAGTCAGCCAACCAACTGCCCAAAAATGATGGTCTAACTTAGAATTTTTAAAAAACTCTTTTACTTAATATGTTTTTTTCCTGCCTGTACACATTATTCAACTGCATTCTAAAAGCTTTTCTACTTGCAGTGATTTGGACCAACATTAAGAAACATAAGTGGAATAGGAGATAATACCTTGGGGATCATTATTTGTAGTTCAGTTTCATCCCTATGAGAATAAAACTACATCTTGGGTTTAACTATGAGGCTAAGTAGAACTCAACAATAAACATTTTTTTCTATTTTTTTAATTAAATTATTATCTGTGTACATATTTTAACATTACCTGCCCCTCCCATACATACTCTCCCCAGAGTTTTATGTCCATTGGTTGTACTTAAATGCATGTATACAAGTCCTTCGGTTGATCTATTATCTCCCCCAGATCTCCCTACCCTACCTGCTGTGATTTGACAGTCTGCTTGTTGCTTTACTGTCTCTATATCTTTTGGTTCATCAGTTTATAATGTTCTTCATTATCCATAAATGAGTGAGGTCAATCAACAATAAACATATTTAAATGTATTTTAAGCAAAATCAGAAGAATATAGATTTAAATTAAAATACCAGAAATTATATCTTAAAATGAAAGTTGTCTTTCAAAAAAAAAAGGGTACCACTTTTTTATAATTTATGATTCTTTCTCCATTTCATAATTTAAAAATTAATAATCCCCAAATTCTTCTGACACATTTATAAGCTGTATCTGGTTGATTTTTGCTTGTTCTTCCAAGTAAACTCCACTTTTAAAATATATTTGTCAACAATCACAACATTGCATTTTCTTGGACTAACTCTAAAGATGGGATTAGTACAGCATTTATGTGTGGTCAGCCTTTTAATACAAATGCTTTAAAAGAGAACTCTCAATTGGACCTTTATGTTCAATTGTTTGATGAATTAGCTGTGTCATTTGTAAAGCCTCAAGTATAATCTATAAAATCCATACATACTATCTCTGGTATCATGAAATAATACATCTAAAGTATATTCACTTTAATGTGTATCAGTAACACATAAGATGTAAATATTGAAGATGAATAGTTGATATCACATAAATAGTATATAAGTATTTAAAAATAGAATATAAGTATTTAATGACTCACCTCTGGGAGAATATATAATATGCATTTAAGCTGGGAAGCACACATATGAGGCTCGGAAACATCCTTGATTAATATTTACACATGACTTCTGCTTGGACTTCATGAGCAAAGATGAGGCAAGCTCTTTCGTCACTCCTATGTCAAATGATAAAAGAAATTAGGTGTTTTTATGACAAAAATAAAATAGACCACTTGGAAATAATATATATGTTAATATTATGATATATATGATATATAATTTTACTTATGATATAACATTTGTTATATTAATATATAATAGCTATATATTTTACTTTATATCTATGAGGAAAGATACTGTTTCTAATTAATTCTTTGGTGCCATGCTTATTATTATGACTGCAGCATTGTCTATGCCACAAGGGTTTAATATGTTCTGAATGAATGGATATTGCTCACATAGTCTCAATACGACATAGTAAACATAAAGTCAATGTGTTTTGTCTCCATGGCCAAACTCAAACTAGCTGCCTGTGTTCTGAATAGTAACTTCCTTATATAGTCAGTCCATTGATCATCATTAGGACAATGTTGCACAGGCTGGTTCAGCAGGAAAAGAACACATTTTGCAAAGGGAAAGTAGGTAAAAGGAGGAGGCCCGGAGAAAAGGAACTGAAACTTGGGAAGAAAACTGCCTGGCCCTAAGGCTTACCATCTCCAGTCTCCCCTTCCTGGCCACCCTCTCCCCTCTCTCCTCTATGCCAGACATCCCGAGAGCCTCTGGGATACTTCTGGAAATATAACTGGGAGTCAGTCATGAACAGCCTCTCACCAAGACAATCAATTGCAAAAATCACTAGGATACCAAAAACATCTTTCATTTCATACTATTTACCACCTGATTAAGCCATAGCCAAAAGGTAGCCTGGTAATTTCAGTATCGCCAACTTTTAGTCTCTCAATGATTATCTGTAAAAATGTTCCTTAACCCACAGAAAGCCAAAATTTGAACCATGGGACAGCAAAAGATATTCAGAAGTTTTTTTTACAGCTTTAAGTTCTTAAATTACACAATCAAATCAGTTTTGTCCTAAACTTCATTTCCCACCCTTAGAATTTGTGCTACTTCCCAATACTATCCATACTATCGTTTTTCTAAAATCTCCTATTTTAAAAAATTAGCCTTGCCCTAATTACTATTACATGTTACAAAATGAGTGTGGTGCACTAACATTTGTACAATAGTTAAAATATAAATATTAAATCAAAACATGTTTGTCTATTTGTATACCAGAAATCATTGGGCATACCACCTACAGTAGATGCACAGTATTTTTTGCAGCTGGATCTAACATGCCTAAGATATTACAATTCTAAGTCCTGGCACTGATCACACACATATCCTGGAATTTTCTTGGCAAAATAAATTATCCAGTTAGCTAACACGCTACTGCTGTTGCACTGATTGTCCCCCAAAGGACACCAGCCCTCAAGCTCTGAGAATTGACCGATTCTTCCAGGACCCATGTAATTAAGACCTAGTTCTTTGTTTTTTCTATTCCTCTCAATCCCGTTTTCCAGACCCAGAATATCATGTATGACATGATTTCGGACTTAAATGAAAGGAGTGAAGACTTTGAGAAGAGGATTGTTACCCTGGAAACAAAGTTAGAGACTTTAATTGGGAGCATCCACGCCCTTCCTGGGCTCATCAGCCAGACCATCAGACAGCAGCAGAGAGACTTCATTGAGGCTCAGATGGAGAACTACGACAAGCACGTCGCCTACAACGCCGAGCGGTCCGGGTCCTCGTCCAGGAGGCGGCGGTCCTCCTCCACAGCGCCACCAACTTCATCAGAGAGTAGCTAGAAGAGAATCAGTTAACCACAAACTAAGACTTTTTGCCATCATATGGTCAATATTTTAGCTTTTATTGTAAAGCCCCTATGGTTCTAATCAGTGTTATCCGGGTTCTGATGTCAGAATCCTGGGAACCTGAACACTAAGTTTTAGGCCAAAATGAGTGAAAACTCTTTTTTTTTTTTTTTTTTCTTTCAGATGCACAGGGAATGCACCTATTATTGCAATATAGATTGTTCCTCCTGTAATTTCACTAACTTTTTATTCATGCACTTCAAATAAACTTTACTACTACATTATATGATATATAATAAAAAAAAAGTTAATTTCTGCACATACTGGTTTGGTCGATTGATATTTCTAAAGATTCATGTCTTTCCTTATTTTCAGGTAAAATGACTGATTATTACCTGATACATGTTGATGATTTTGATTTCCAGAAGTTTGGAAGGTTGGAGAAAAACTTTCAATTATTATATACCCTATTTACTAGGATGTTCCATTATTATGAAATATTATAGTCACACTCATTTGACCCAGCCCAGTTTACTATTTGAGTTTATAGCCTCTAATTTGGTTTCCAAATTATGTGGAAAATGAGGTGGTTCTATGATAACATAAAAATAAGGAGGTACAAATGTTTTCAATAATTATTTCATTCCAAGTTTACAAAAAATAAATTTAACTTGAAGAAATTATCAGGGTACATCATTGTCTGTGAAGTGATATTGCAGAATTTAGGTCTAAATTTGTTGTCATCGCTTTCCATATATTCATTTTTTTATTTGGGCCCATGATACACTCTGTGTGTTATACACATGCATTGACATACTTCCTAACAACTTAATGAACATAAATGAGCATAACTTTTAACGGGGTACCTATCACCTAGCAAATGGTCCCCATTAGGTCTGTACTTCCTTACTTGGTACAAGGAAGTAAATGGCATCTAGTAAATTTAATAAACTTCATTATACTTGTTTCATGAGTGGTTAAGGTTGATCTCGGTAAAAGAGAACTGGATAGTTACTGCTGCAAACACATCTCTTTTCCATTGGTTTTGAACAACCATCCTTGAAATGATAGCAATGTGGGATTCCCTCACATGGTGGTACTTGCGGTGTCTGCAAAAAGAACTGACCTGAGGAGGTAGGTAGGGGTAACACATCCTAAAAATGAGGCTTCACGTACACAGCTGCAAACCCAGCTGCTTGGTTGCCCAAAATCTAAAAATGTTTTGCCATCCTTCCCTTTGTTTTACACCATATCTTTAGGGTCTACCTTACAACATTGCAAGTTGCTAGGATACCAAGTATTTCATCATCTTCCATAGTTCAATGAATAAAGTCACTTTCATAGCTAATCTTCATACTTGATGCAAAATCTAACATTTCCATTTAAAATCAAGGATATAAAACTATGATTCCTTTTGAATGCCTGAGAATAACTTACCATTATTACCCATCCAAAGTGGCTGAAAATAAAGGTCATTTACACATCTTCTATGTCTATGTAGGATGAGGACAAGGTTTGGAATGTCCTTTTAATAAGTGAAAGAAAAACTGTTAGATCACGTTTATAGGAATATACTGCTGAGTTAAATGAACTTCAAAAAGCCTGCATTATCAGGATTTCTACTTCATGAGAGAAACTAAAATTTCCTTTATGTATTCTGGGTTGCATACAAAAATACATCAAGTATTTGGTGTAAACATTGGATGTAAGAAAGAAAATATTTGAAAGATAATTTGTTCCTGCAACTGATATAGTTGATTCTTGTGTTTATTCTACCTCTATTGTGACTAAAAGGCAAAGTAGTGGATAATTAAGTCTAATTATCATTTTGCTGATGAATTAGCACTACCATCCCAAACTACTAGAAGACTAAGGAAAAAATAGTATTTTCTTCTGTTGAAGGAAAGAGGAGAAAACGTTTTAATTTCAATATCATTATCTTGTGTTTATTCTCTTCTTCCAAATTAGCAGCAATTCATGTAAGATGTCATTCTTTTGTCTTCTAAATTGATCTTACTTTTCCTGTTCCTCTATGCAAAGTACATGGAGACTAGCAGAGATTCAAAAAAAAAGTGTAGGATCTTTTCTCTATTTTTTCCAAGTACCAAGAAAGTCATAATTTAAAAGAGGAAAAGAGGACCCATGTTTTGCATAGACATTATGGTTGGCAATATGCTGAAAGAGCCCAACATCACCCTACATTACCAAGACTCCTCCATGAATATTACACAAAATCCTCTGAAGTCTCCTAAAATGACTGCTCCTTTGTGGTGACATGTGCCTTGCACTTTGTTTTTCAAAATTTCTAATAACTGAGTCTTGTTACACCTCAGCCTACCACACCTTGGCCTCACTATTTCTCCACAGCCAGTACAAGAGCATGTGGCTAGAACAAATCACTTTGAATTACAGTGACACCACCTTCCTCAATAATTTTCTTAGTTCCCCCTTTTTGTTCACAGTTAACAGAAGATTCCAATAAATATGAACCAAATTCATAACAGGTAGCAGATCTACTAAATTTCACATGATTTCTAATTTCTCCTCCTCCCTTGGTGATTGTTTTACAGAGATTCCCCATCAAAGCATCTGGAATAATCAATTTTATTCCAAACAGAATATGAAATTTAGAGAAAAACCAATTAGAGTTAATATGAATCTTCAAAGATGGATTAAAATACTAGAGCCCTCCTATTTTGCCACTTTGCCCAGTCTTGAGAAATAGAATGATGAAGGAAAAAAATATGAGGTTAAAAGTCAGGTCTGGGTTTGGAAATTAGTTTTGCCTCTTGATAGCTCTATGTATTTGAGCAGCTTTAATCCTTCTGCCCCTTTTTCTCATCTACAAAATGAGTATTCAAAGATAGTATCAGTAAGAGTCTTGCAAAACCTGATGTTTCACCAAATTATGGTAGATCCTTTTTGTTACTATTTCCAGCATAAGGCAACAAACATTAAATATCCCATTACATGCCTATTTTACTTTGTTATAACTTTTAACAGCTGGCAGTATGGTTTATAAAATCTCCCACCTATCTAATTCTTAAATCAAGTGACTGGATTCTGAATTAGTTGTTCAGTTCCTGGTCCTATCACTGATTTTTTTGTTTAATTTGATCTAGAATACCAATAGGTATGTTTGTCTTTGTGATATTTATTCTTCTTCTTGGCATCTCACAAGATCTGTTCATGAACATGATCTGGAAATGTAGAAGGTTTTTATCCTCTATGCCTAGCACTTGGCGTACTCACTTGGGGATGTGCTGATATAGTTACCCAGGAAGTGGACCAATGGGCTCAACTCCTTTTTCATATCCACGCTAAAGTTCAGGAGCCTCCATGTACTTCTTCCAGCCTGAGTAACACACTGATCCAGTTTGTGTGTTTTAATTTAAATTAATTGTCAAGTTAATCCACTAAGAAAAAGTGCCAAACTGGTTTGATTAATAGAATCCTAGTAAATGTTGCTGAGCTTGGAGTCCCCTGAGGACTTCTGCCCATTCACTGTCACTATTGCTAGAGTCAGGTTCTTAGGCCAATTAAGAAAAGAAAGAAGAAAAAAGCCTGTCAATGCTGCTTTCTAGTGCTTTTGTCAAATATGTCCTGAATCATGGAATCCAGAATTAGAAAATATGTATTATACCTTCATAGATATGTCCCCTCTTAATATTTAGAAATACTCTGAATTTCCCCCCCAGAAAATTGTCTTTTCTCTACTTGTGTATTTTCTTCTGCCTCAATGTTTACAGTCCCCAAAGGGAAAGCGATGGGGGATGGGGACAGCTACAAAATAAATAAGAAATTACCAGACAATAATAGGGTGAAGCCTGAGGAGGGGACTGGACTTGGGGGGGAAGGGGAGGCTCAATGAGAAAAAGAAGGGAACATCTGAAATACTTTAAACAATAAAACTTTTAAAAGATTAAATTTTTTTAAAGACATTACTAGATGCCTTCCTGCTGGTATTAGGAGCACCAGATTGGAGTTTGCTCAATGTTTGGAGCAGCTAAAGCTGAGTGTGAGGAAGGCCATGGTCAGCTGACTGTGGCCAGAGATCTGAACAGAGTAATGCTTTCTCCCACCTTCCAACTTTGTAATAACCTGACTCCTCTACTTGTTAGGAAAGCAGCTCTTCTCTCTCTTTAGAGCCCAACTGCATAAGTATTAATTGGGGTGGGAGGAATAATTGCTGGAAAAAGGGTTACAAATGCAGAATGGAATTAAGCTTCGAAGAACCCTGTTGTACTGAATTGGAATTGAAGGCATCAGTATGAACAAGTGCATATTTATATAAATGTATGTTTGTATATTTATTTTAATTCCATTTGCTGAAAAGACCTAGAAACAAAGATATCCCAAACCTATTGCTTTGTCCTTGGAAGCTAAATACGATTCTCCTTGTAAAAATGGCAGATTTCAGGAGTGTACCAGAGAAATTCAAATGAGCTTAGAACATCATATACCAGAAAGTAAGAAACATATAAATGAGGACAAGAGGACACAAAGGCTAGCCTGTACAAGTCATAAATATGGGATCATTGGAGCATAAACAATATTAATAGTTTATGACCCATAAAATAAAAATATTTAATAGTCCTTGCTTAATAAATAAAAAGGGAAAACTCTTCCACATAGTGGGTTAAAAATCTGTGAAGAACACAATGTATATTTATGCAGTATCAGAATATCTTTCAATACATTTATTTTACTAATTACTAAAAGTTAATGGTAATTTCACTGTTAAGAAAAAGGAAAGGGAAAACTAGGGACCAGCTCTTTACCATGGAAACCAAGTATCATCACTAATAATGGTGCAGACCTATGTCATATGCCTCCTGAAATCCTATCTAATAAAAGAATAATATGAAAATTAACCATCACTCCGCTACACCCACAAGCCATGCCCACCAGCCAATCAGAGCAAGTATGCAAATAAACCCAACCAAAATGGCTTGAGTTTCCCAGGCAATTTAGGAAGCCAGGCTTTCTGCCTGCCCTTGCCAGCCTAGGCCTCCACTCAAGGCTACAAAGTTTCAATTATATAAGGTAAACAAATCCAAACAGAAATGGCTGCCAACCATGGAGCAAGTAGGAGACTTGGCTCTGCTCCAGGAGGCATGAGTGGCCTGCAAACCATCACAGGCCTCTTGCTCAGACTGCCCCACACCCCAAGGGAACCCCCACCCTGATCTAGGACACCTTTCAGGGCAAACCAGCTGGCCCCCACTCCTGCACAAGGCCTCTATCTTATCTAAGAAGAGTAATATGCAGATTGACCATCACTCCAACACACAACAGCTGCCCCCATGTGGACACAAG